TTTAAAGATAAAAGTTACTTCTATTTTGCAAACTTGTGTGATTTTATTTTATTTTTACTTTTATGTAAAAAAAAATATTTATTTTAAAAGTAACTTTTCTTAATAAATAGCTTACGTATTTTCAACTTTGATTCATAATCATAAAAACACGCTAGTCGTAAGTAAGTTTACTTATAAGAAAACTTTTTAAACTTAGCCAAAGATTCTCACAAGGGTTAGAATTTGTGACTCATATTAGTCTTAGTTTTTGGCGATTTGGCCATCGGTGCTGTTTTAAATTGATACTAGTAGTCAAATAATAAGTCGGAATGACTTTATGTCATGTAGTGATATGCTTACCTAGTATTTATCTTTGATTTTTAGTCATTAATTCTCACAATAAACACTAATTAACTGCATTCGAATCTTACATTAAAAGATGAGTCCTACTTCATTCGCAAACTCTTTGGAGAATTTTGGTACCTCACTGTTTTCTCCTCGTGTAAATAAACCCAGTAACTATATAACCTTTACCCTGTTGAACTTCTCAGGGTAAAAGTTACATGTTTACCTTGCAAAAAGGGTTAGGAGTACATGAGCGGATGCCTCGAAGGGATCCATCCAGGACGGCTCAAGACATTTGGAGGATCTTAGCCAAAATTTTAAGGGCGTTTTTTGTAAACAATAAAAGAAATTAATAGAACAAACAAAAATCATGGAATATTCTATCGGTGACCACTGATTATATGATGAATGGTGATTATGTGAAATAAATATTTGTCGGTGATGGAAATAGAATTATTAATTGTAATATAGTTAGTGATCATGACACACCCTTGTCAATAATTACTGACGATAATCTCATAGTCAACTAGTTCATCAATTTATCGATTGGACCAATTGGTTGAGTTTAAGGTTTAAAACTAAGTGCATCTCCAATGAGGGGTCAAATTTGTAGGATTAAATTAGTGTAGTGGATGAAACCGGATTTAAGCATATCGTATATGCAATATGCCGTATATGCAACTTACCGTATTTGCAGGCAGCTTACCGCATATGCAATTTGTATTTGCAGGCAGCTTATCATATTTGCTGCTCACCGTATATGCACTTTACCGTATTTACACATATTGGCTTTACCCATTTCATATCAACAGTGAGGTTAGATACCGTACATGTAACTAACAAATACCGAAATTGCATTTACCTTTTTTTTTTTCAATCTAATTTTATTTAAAATATAAATAGAACGACAAAATAATAAAATTGAAAATTATATAAGCTCACGAATAAATTGCAGAAGTATACGAACAATGAAGATAAAATTACAGGAAATAAATAAATAACGAGATGAACTTTCAACCTGAGGCAATGGGCAGGGCTCGGGAACGCCAAAAACTGGATCAAAGTTCTTGGGATGTGAGGCAATTGGGCCAGAGTCCGCGGGATGTAAGGCAAAGTGGGTCCCCAAGTCCTCAAGACAAAGTACACAAATAT